TTATGGATAATTGTATTTAGAATGAAGCTGAAATAAGCTTTATTTTTTAGCCGTTAATTTCCTGTAAAGGATATAAATATCAAAACAATTCAACGAATATCTATCCGGTAACAAAAATTTTAGTACTATAGTTTTTGACTGAAAAACGTTTCAATCAAAAATATATATGGTTCGAAAAAATATTTTATTAATAAATATTTTACATTATATTTCAGTTTAGAAATTTAGACACTTTTGTGACTTCTGAACAGGTCAGATTATATCCTAAGAGTGAACTAAGTTTTTAATAAATTGCTGCTTTTTTTATGCTTGGGTATAAAAAACATTTTATATTAAACTTACTTACTTAGTGTAAGGTATTCAATATGAGAAACTTTTGACTTCAAGTGTTTAGATTGGTCCGAATTTATTTATTAGTCAACTTCAACTGTTAAATCATTTGTTCATCATCATCACTTCATATATTGAATTATTTTACATGCAAGATCTTAATATACCGTATGTACTGGGTCTTTTTTAAGGCCGTGACCTGCACGCCCGGCCAAAAGGGTGATGGATAATCTTAAGCAAGGAATTTGTGCACACATATAAATTATAAATTAATTACTTGGAAGTTTTCAAGTTGCAAGAAATATATAGCTTGCTTGCTAGACAGTGATTTAGACATAGTACATAATATTTGCTTGAGACATTGCTAAAAATTAAAGTTTTTGTTTCACTAAACAAAGAATCTTATATTTTCTGTATGTTTTTTATTTAAATTTTTGGTAAGTTCCTTATATTTGCAATATTTTTTCTATTTATTCGAGTGTCTAATAAATATTTCAATCCGTGGCTTCTTCAGTATGCAGACAAAAACTTTATCAATTCAACACTCACATATTAGAAAGGAGTTTATGTTTCTTGGCACCATTTGCTTAAATCACGAAAGACAAGTGGAATTCCCAGAAGCGTCGGATCTCGTTTTCAGCTAATAAATGACCGACCCGCAAACCGAAAGTAAATTTTCTCAGTTGCTCTATCTACCCATTTTACTGCTGAATGGCATTTCAGTAACCTACTTGCATTTAATTATTCAGTTGCATTCCAGTTTAGTTCCTTAGATTTAGAAGGATCATTTAGAGCAGTTAAAAATACGCGTAGGCCTGCGTTCCAAAATATTAGCTGTGGAGAATCAGTTCAATCAGAAAAAATATGTCAGAAATTACATTTTATAGGTACAAACTGAAAACCGAAGCTGAAAGAAATACCGCATTTTCTTCATTTATTGTAGCTTTAAAACATATAAATATTAGCGGATTATTTATGATGAAAAAGGCTGAAATACACTCACGGCAGGGAAACGCATAATTTCCAAACGAATTTTTCACGCTTTTAACATAAATCAATTTTCTGGGCCGCGACCCAAAATCTAACCTCCCGTATCTGATTCTGTGCGTGAAATAGGTAGTCACTTTTCAAACTTGAACAAACAGCTTTCGGCAAACAACTCTGCTTGTATAAGTCAGGGCTTCTGGCAATCTTCCGGATCCATTTTAATTCCGTCCATCATTTTTAGGACTTTTTGGTTTTGTGGGTTTAAATTGTTGTTTTATATCTTTAGTTGGCTGAACTTGGTCGCCCCAAAAACTAGTTTAGTTTATTCAGCAGTCAACCTTCCGAATTCATTGAGAAATAATTTGGTTTCCTTTGCTAGTTAAAATGTGGCATATTAATGTTTACATGCTGTGAAATATGTGTTATATTTAAAGGAAGTGTTGATTCAAGGGCAAATGAGCTAAAATGTTACAAACACTTTAACATTCGGCCACAGGCTGCGTTATAGTAGAGTTGATATTTTTTCGATGTTACGGAAAACGCCACCCCTAAGCTGTTTGAAAACAACGACTGACTGCTGCTCTTCCAAAAAACTAGTTATAAAAATAATTCAAGTACTTTGTCTTGTAAATCGTTCTAAGTTAGTAGCAGTGAATACATGAAAGCTTGACAAAATTTGTTTGCTTACTTATGCAGTAATATTTTTGCAAAGTGTATTTATAATTGCTCGCACAGCCGTCATGTCGCGGAAGTTATTCCAGATATTTGGTAGGTTGTAAGCAGCTAGTCTTTCTTCATATATGTGGATATTCATCAATTCACTTAATCACACATAATCAAATTATATTTTTGATAGTAATTTATAAAATAATTACGTGTTCCAAGGCACATTTTTACATAGTCAGAGCAGCCCTCGTCAAAGTCAATATTGCTTGGGTCACAAGGAAATGTGTGCAAACAGACTATACATATATTTTAAATGTATAAGTTTTACACTGAATAGCTGATTTGCATTAAAAAATATACTAGGAAACTATACAGTTTATGATAATTTATCTAAGAATATATTCTAAACTTTGTAGCTCGATCCCGTCTGTTCTAAAATAAGAAATCTCTAGCGCAGCTTTATGTACTGAAAATTTATGACACGTTTTCCTACTTTAGATTTTCCCTTTTTTGCCAGTATAATATACTTAAAGTTGAGCAACTTTGTCAATATTCGGAACACTGTCGAAGTTGGCGAACTTCTCTTTCGGGCATTTCCTGATCTTCAAAACTTTGTTGTGCTTTTATGCAGCTTTCAGTGTAATAAGTGACACTTTTGTTTACATAATATTGTGATTTGTCATTACTTTTTCTCTTTCTGTGCTCACGTTCTATGAAACAAATGATTTTATTTCGATTTTAGTTTGAATCGCACATATTAGAAGCAGGTGTGCTCTTTTAGCTCAGGTTATTCAGTGTATTTAACTCCTCTCGATAAATTATTAGCAAGAAATCATCCGCATCAAGATCGCTCAAAAGCTCGACAAAATCATAAAACCGAAAACTGAAACTCTTTCGTTGTCACATATGTTTCGAGTTTTTAGAATTTTGGAGTATATTTGTCTGTAATTTCGACAAACTAGCAATTGCTTCGTTAACATTTTTGCAGATTTATTTAAAATGGTGCAAAAAAGTATGGAAAACAGATGAGTAGATTCGGGAGTAGATGTAGTCTCGCAGATTGAAATACTTTTTCGAGACTAAAGATCTGGTGCAAAACTTTAATTACCGGTTGGAAAAAGTGAGTGACTCTTTAGCCACTAATGTTTAGTAAACTAAATGCAAGTTGTCAATATTTTCTAGAATATTGAGAAAGTATAAGCCTGTAACCAATACGGCATGTTGCTCAAACTCTAGTGACAGGAGCTACCGAAAGAAGATTAATTTCCTTTCGTTAAATAGCAGAAGCCTGTCGTCAGAATTACTTTTTGCAATGAATGTTATGGAGAGTTACGAAGTATATTTTTCAAACAAGGGCGTGTTAAACAGCAAAATGTGCAATATTGGTCACCGGAGAACGTATTCTCGTTAATTCTCGGAACCTACAAAGGCAATTATCTGTGTCTGGTGCGGTTTAAGAAGTGCGAATGTAATTGCTCGAATTTCTGGCGAGGCAAATTTTAGCCAACGGAAAATATATTTAGTTATTACGCAAGGCTCTAGATCTGGAGAGCCAATTGAATCATATGAATTTAGAACTATGCAGGTTTAACAACGTATTTGTAACAACTAAATGACCCATCATATCAAGACAGGGCGAGTCAGTTTATAGCAGCAGTCGATAAAAAATCCAATTTTAAGATGAAAATGTCATAGAAGGATATATGGAAAACGGCTTCGTTGCTGATATACAGAGTGGCCAGTTAACATTATATTATAATAAAAAAAGATACTCGCGCAAATTGTAAGATCCAGTAATAGAATTCTATATTCACGGACTTATCGCAATGCCGCTTCCAATATTTGTATCAATTAAGTTGTTAACGTTAATTACTCCATTGAGACGTTGGCTGCGGGAGAATCTACAGTTTGATCATTCTTTGTAGCAGCTGAACCGATAACCACATTCAGAAAAAAACTTAGTTAATTTGAAAAAATGCGGCAACAATGGTTTCGGGTCAAATTTTCCATTAAAATTGTATTTAAAATCCAGCTAAATATGCCTACGGTTATTTCATCGGCAAATGCACATTTTAAACCCGATTTTCTGAAAGATTCTAATTTACATGAAGAAGAGAATTACTCTAGTGAAACCAAAATTTAAACAGGTTACAATATAGTAACATGGTATTTTAGACCCTATTATTTAAGTTTTCTAATTTTCTTCGATAGTTACTACCTATTCATATGTGAGACTAGTTTCACGTGTATGTTTTGATGTATTCTCGTTCTTTTAACTTCATAATTTGGTTTCCATTAATCTGGATTTCCGACTGCGTTAATACTCAAACATCTGGACTAGAACGGTTTATAGTTGAGAATTTAGTAATATCAACAACTCTTGTTTTCAACTCACGCAAGAATTACTTTAATATGTACCTAGATTGCTGAAACAATTCACGAAATATGTTGATTGCTGACAGTCCACTTCTGTTTAATTTACAAATCAAGGCAAATAGAGACAAGAGACCAAAAGGACACGTGCAATTGCTCGGGGAGTTTATCATTATATATTCGATTTACACCGCTGCTAGTAAAGCACATTCTTGATAATATGTTATCGTATTATCTACCTAAGTGTGGTTAGTTAGTATATTATGGTTAGTAATTATGTGTTAATGAGCTCTAGTGGCTTTTGTAACTTTCAAAATTTATGAATCACTCTCTAGTACATTATTATATTTTGCTACAGAGGCTTGAACCAATATTTAATTAACTATGGCTTAATATTTGATTTTAAAAGAAAACTACTCTTTTATCTTTCAAACAAAAATACTACTACTACTACTACGGCTACCGATATACCTCCATAAAAAGGCACACAAACGTCAATACATAAAACAGCATATTAATATGCATAAACATAGTTGAAATAAATTTGAACTTGAAACAGGACCCAGGTGTAGGTACAAATGTGAACATTTTTTAAAATTACATAATGTACAGTATAATCAACTTTAGTATTCATTTCTTTCCAGATAATCCATGGCATCCAAAAGAAGATATTTACGTTCAATGAAAAAGGGGACCAGTTAAGAAAAAGCGAAAATATGAAGGCTTTCCTCATCGTTCTTTTTTTGGTAAGTAGATTTTTTGCTTAAGCATGAATCAAATTACACCAGTTATCCTCTTACCTCGAAAAGGATAATCTAGTTATAATTAAGCAAACGGGAGTAACATTGAAATGCTGTTACAATTACAATTGCACCAGTCAAGTCGTATCAATAAATAATGAATCATAATAACAAATAATATCAAAAATATATGTATGCAAGTAAAAGTAATTCGGTTTTTTTAATTAAAAATTAGTAACCTGAACATATCCAAGGTTTTAAAAAGTCTTTATATTTTTTTTTTTGCTCTAATTATAGACCGTTAATGTTGCTTTAAAGCAAGTTTCTTGAAGTTAGAAAGAGCAGTATACGAGTATTTAACCAAAAAGTTTCTCGGTAATGTACTGTTATTATGTCTGTTTTTGTTGAGCTGACCAGACGAAGAAAAATTTTCGAAACTACTACATTGCGCATTGAATATATCTACAAGCATGGTAAAACAACCTCTTTTCCACCTATAGATTCATCTAGGAGAAATAGTTGATGAATACAGTAGTTTCCAGTCTTGTTCCATACTGTTTTCATCCCGGGATTAATGTTTTCAAAACCTTTCCTCTAGGTGTTTTGCGCCAAAATCGAATCACTTTTGTAAAGACACACACTCAGGTCTTCTATTACCTACTCATACCAAATGCTTTTTTTCCAGATATATTCTGCTTTCCATTTTTCTACAGATAATAAATGATTTACCAAAACGTATTAATGAAAGTGTTCCACTATTAAACAACTAATTCAATGTTATGAAAGTTCAATATTATAATCTAATCTCATTAATCAAAATGCGGTCGCAACAACAATGCGGGTTTTGATAATTTAGTCCAAAATACACGAAACATTTTAAATCCGTGTATATTTTTCAATTAACTTAAAACCCTAGCAATTGGAGAAAAAATGTAATTAGTAAAACTGCTAAAAATAAAACTTATTTTAAAATTGGAAATAATCAAGTACTTTGTGTAGGACGTAGTGTTTGTACTTATTAGCAGCAAAGCTACTGATATAGTACTGTTTTTTGGAATTTTCTAGAATAGAAGAATGAATTTTAATCCCTTTTAATACCGCAGAAATTTGCTATAATCGTTAGTCCCATTATAAATTCAGAAAATATTCAATCACTTAAATGCATACATCTCTTAACCCTAAGATCTATTAGTATGTCAGTTAGTGAATAGTGTATTCAAATATATTAACGAGTTAACGGCAAAAAATAAATCACAGGATTATACTGAGTCGTAAGTACTCCATCCAATGATATAATAGCTATTGTCATTTAAACTGAATATCCACCTGAAACAAACACATTCCCTAATGCCGACATTATTCAAAACGGATAAATCATGCTCCTGAATTAAAAGCGGTTCTTTAAAATGAAGTGGATCCTTTGTTTCGACCGATAGCGTATTCTCTTTTCCGATCCAGGAATTCAACCAGAACGGACTTTTGCTACTCTCCAGAATGCGTTTTCTGTTTGATTAATATCTGGTTTCAATCCTATTTGGTGGTGGACGCATCCGGCTTCCGATATTAAATGCAAATTCGATTTGCATATAACTACGTTGCCCGTTGTTTTAATGAATGGCTGGGACACCTTGAAATAAATTGAATTCTGGACGCAAACATTATGAAACTGTGTTGAAATAACATTTGTGTTGATTTTGCCGTCACACGTTCATCTAGGATATTTAGATATTGGTTTAATCCAGTGATTTTGAATGAACGCGGTTCTAACATATCACTTAACAGTTGAGAGATAATTCCTTAAATGTATTTTTTAATATGTACTCATTAAATTGGACCTGGTTTATATGAGGAGTTGTGTGAAATTCTAGAGGCATTTCACTGTGTGATGGAAATTCAGATATTCCCACTGATGTGGGTTGGAAATGTCGTTTTGCTCTAAACGTTTTCCAAAATATATGGGAATCTTTGATAAGCAGAGTAAGCTAACTTTAAATGTGAACTATTTTCAAAGCTTAGCTTACCTAACTAACATTTGTTATAAAAGCAACACCCCAAGCCAACTAAAGTAGATAACGCTGCACGCATTTTCGCTAAACCCAAATGTTTATTTTGCGATAGTGAAACACATTTCCATTAGCAGATTTGTTTCATATCTAAACAATTCTATTATGTTTTGATGAAATGCTTTTTGAAGCGGTTAAATACAGTTTCAATTTTATAAATCGCCTTTCAAATATTGTCAATAGCAGTATACCTTTTGGAGCATTTATTATTTTGACAACGCAACAAAGCTTTGGCTTTAGTTGGCTAGAATACTCTAGTTATAAAGATAAATTTTTCTTTATATGTTGAATTCGCGGTGGACACAAAAGAATGATAAAACTTCTTTTGGGATTAAATTAACCTGCTCAACAAAATAGACGTTACACGGACAAATTTCGGCTAATTTTGGAACTAAATAAATTCTGGTCGTTTATAGCGATTTGGTTTCTGCTTCAAGCGTTATTTAGCGCAACTCGTTTTCAGTGAATGAGTGTTTTTGCAAAAAGGTGGTTCAGTTAAAGTCTTTACAGGATCGCCAATGAAGCGTTGCACAATTGGTGAAAGTGCCACATGCTAAAAAATTTCTGAAAAACAAAAATTTCTTAAAAAATCAACTCTTTGGCCTTGCAGTGGTAAGTTTTTAAAATGTTCAACCGATTAGCAAAATCTTAGGCTCATGTTGAACCGAAAGCTTTACAGTCGACTGGTGAAAATTGAATATACCCAGGTTGCATGAATGAACGATACATTTTGAACTTCACTTTAATTGGAAGTCTGCTAGACTAACATACTTCGGGGGCACATCTGCTTTGGGTTGTTTTTTAAGCAAGCACCCATATTCAATTGTTATCTGAAGTTTTCCATGAAATTGTCGCTTCAACATGAGCTTTAAATTCTTAAAATCGGACTATCGCGGAAAACTTGTACCTGCGAGGCTAAATAATTGATTCTTTGAGTTCGCCCTGCAAACAGATGAGATGGCCGAAAAATTCAACACCCGTTTGGAGCCCTGTAACAAAATTATGTGAGCTGCTTAATGCTCACCACATCATCAACTAATAGAACACAAATGGTGCTAAGTAGCACTTTAAAAAGTAACCAAATCGCTCGAAGAAATCAGAATTTATCCAGTTTGAAACTTAGGGCAAAGTTGGCAGTGAACGTTCATTATGCTGAGTAGCTTAGATTATTGATTCTTATTTGTGTCAAATTACACCCGCAGTTCTATTAAAGGACTTGAGAAAATTGAAAAGCGCCACCTTTTATTTTGGAATTAACGTTTTATTATATTTTATAATAGCGATTAGGTCCATATTCAGTTCCGAGAGTTCGCAAATGCTTCATTATCTGCATTATAATCTCAACCATCTCTTCGAATGCAACTTTCGAATTATTCACAATCCTGATTAGCACACAAACAATAATCTGCAAATTTATTTCTCTGCTCTAGAATGTCAAAGTAAACTATTAACCAGCCAGCAGCTAGCATTAAGTCTAAGTTATGCCTTCTATTTGTCTTTCAGATATGCTGTTTTGCGGACGAGATAATGGATGTCGATTTTTTCGTTATTACTTGAAATGAAAATGGTTTGTTTACGTTCCAGTCTAGAATAATAATCCGTTGATGGTGTAGTTAAAAATGCAGGAACTATTCTATTTATGGTACAAATTCAAATTGATTAGGGCTTCGGGTCGCAAAGAGCTTGGAAATCGACAAATAAACAAATCTATAGCAAACATTTCGAATTTGCGCCACGTATTTGGTCGTATGTATTTGAAATTTTGTTGATGTTCTTTAACATAACAGAGAGATCAATTACTGCTAATTTAACGGGTAAATCTTCAGTTGAATTAATGAATGCCTTTTTGTAACCGTCATAACAACATAAAATATGGAAGCTAAAAAAATTTGGTGTTTAGTTGTAATCAACGTGTGGCTGTTGGTATATTTCAATAAAATCTTATTTCGCCGAACGTTCACGAGACACCGAAACATAACGTAGAACGCACAGTTCTTTTGTTCATGAAAATAAATTATTGACAACCCTACAAAGTTCTTGTTCGGAAATTTAAAAATGGGATATTCCAATTTTATTGCATAGTAGTGCGATAATTTGTCCATTTTTGCTTTTCTTTTTGAAAAAACTTGGTGATTTTAAAGTGTTTAAGGGACTTCTAATGTACAAAAATATATTTTATTTTATTTCATGACTTCGCCACAGTACAGTATCACTGCTTTTGACCAATATGCAGTAAGATACTCTTAATAAGTTATTTTTACAAGAATTACTGTTGAAAAAGATTTGGAAATGCAGTTGAAGAGAAGCAGAAGAAAATGTTTAGGATGAACCAGCTTTTGTGGAAAGTATCCAAGAAACATTACCATGATTATTAATTTTTGATTTTAGTGTAAGTAGTCGCCTCAAACAGGGCAGTTATTTGGGGGCAAAAGCCAAATTTACAATAAGAATAAAATGCAGTTTAAATACTGTTTTCGTAACATAATACCTGAGGGGAATCTCCAAAAACCCTAATATTTAACATCTGGACGTTCTTTACTTTTTGTTGGTATCTGCAATTGCGATTTCTCAAACATTTGCTTCCGATTTATCTGGTGTGGAATGGACCATCTTTTGTAAGGCCCCCCAAAGGAAAATTACATTCGTTTAAATCTGTTTACCCAAAATCGGTAAATTTTACGGTAATTATTCTCTTGGCGAATTCATTTATTCGAAAATTACGTAAATTCGAATAAGGGTGGGCTAAGTAGTTAACGCGAGAAAGTTCCAACATTGCCACCGCATTTTTTGTCAAATATCTTTTTAATCCAGGCTGTTTCCCGGTTTAAACTTGTTCGAATTTTTTGAACTGAGCTGAAGAAGTTCACATTTACTGATTTCCTAACCTCGTTTCAATGTTTTACGTATCATGCAATTATAATCATATAAAATTAAGCAACTTAA